GTTTAGGGTCAGGGTGATTTCGGGCTTGTCTCCAGTGGACTTCAAGCCCTACACCCTGACTTCTGGCCTGAGCCTAAGGCTCTTGCTGAGGAACTGAAACGGGTTTAGGGACTGCGGCTTGGGGTTGCGAGGACTTCAGTTACCATGATGAGGGTCATTTCGCAAGGGCTAGAACCCCCACCTGTCCGCTGATCAAAGACCACGTTCTCCAGAAGGGCTCCGAAACCTCGGAGATTCAGGGAACTTCCTTGTTGAAGGCCTTGAGGCCTAAGACCCAAAACCCTTAAATGATCCCTTTGGATGGGCCCTTAAGAGAGGGCCCCGTATAGACACCATATAGACCCCGCATATACCCCCTTGTGGAGCCTGTAAAAGCACGGGCCCTTACTTCAAGAACGCTGTTTTGAAAGTAAGGAACAGCATTTTCTCGGGACCATGTAGCTACCCTTAGATCTTGGGCTTGAACGAAGGTCCTTTGGCTGCAATTATCTCCTGAATGTCCATCCACACCGCTCCCCCTCCCCTGCCCCCCCCCACCACACCCCTCCCCACCCCACCCCCGACCCGACCTCCCCCCCACCCCATGCCCCTCGATAATTTGTCATAAATTTTCCGTTCCGCGCCCTTCGTCCTTCGCGCCCCCCTCCCTGAAGCTTTGCCGTCCGAAACCCCATCAGCCCAGGTGCGAATGGCATCCCAGATCTCGGGCTCCTTCGTTTGCGTGCGTATGGCTTCTTCTTTTCTTGGCACTTGGGGTTTGGGGTTTGGGGGTTTGGGGTTTGGGGGTTGGGGTTTGGGGCTTGGGGTTGGGGGTTTGGGGGTTTGGGGTTTGGGGTTTGGGGCTTGGGGTTTGGGGTTTGGGGTTTGGGGCTTGGGGTTTGGGGTTTGGGGGTTAGGGCTTGGGTTTGGGGTTTGGGTTTGGGGTTTGGGGTTTAGGGTTTGGGGTTTGGGGTTTGGGGTTTGGGGTTTGGGGTTTGGGGCTTGGGGCGACATCCATTGGACCCCCATCCCCCAACACTGGGTGCTCAGTTCCCATCCCGTGGCAAGAGCCTTCACTCGAGTCCCCATTCGTCTGCCTCATATGCACGTGATGTGCACTCTGTGTGAAGTGGGTGGTAACCCTAAACTCTAAACCCGAAACCCGAAACCCTAAACCCTAAACCCCAAACCCTAAACCCTAAACCCTGGTGTCTATGGCTCAGCCAAGAAAAATTCGCGTGTCCTTCTCGCGCGTGAGGCCGATCGCCTGCGCAGGGTGCAGACGGGGAGACCACCCAAAAGAATCGGGCAGGTCCTCCTTGATCATAAGGTCCCCAAAAAAAAACCCCAAGGGTTTAGGGTTTAGGGGTTAGGGGTTAGGGTTTAGGGTTTAGGGTTTAGGGTTTAGGGTTTAGGGTTTAGGGTTTAGGGTTTAGGGTTTAGGGTTTAGGGTGAAGGGTTTCGGGTTTCGGGTTTCGGGTTTAGGGTTTAGGGTTTAGGGTTTAGGGTTTAGGGTTTAGGGTTTAGGGTTCTAGACCCCCTAACCCTAACTTGCCCCAACCCACTGCACGCAAGCCTTGGCATAGCAGCCTCCCTCGATGTTGAAGATCTCGGCGTGGGTGGGCGAGTTCCAAGGGGCTGTTTCTGCTTTTGCGGGTTTTTTGGGGTGCGTTTAGGGTCTTGGGTTTGGGTTTACATGTCTCGTTTAGGGTAGATGAGGGTTTAGAGCTCCACCTCAAACCTTCCAGCGCGGCTTTCTCCAGGCGCGACAGGGGCTACTGGGGGCCAAACTCCTTTGTCCGTCCAGGCATGCTCGTCGTCGCCGATGAGGAGCCGATTCTCGTCTGCAGACCTCTATAGGAGGTCCCGAAAAACGTTTAGGGTTTAGGGTATGGGGGGCATCCCGATTCCCTAAACCGTCTTTCCAGTGTTCATGAGTTGGGGTGCGGGATACCAGAGCTGGTGTACAAGAGTTTAAGGATTGGGGTGAGGGTTAAAGGGTTTAGGGGTCAAGGACTAAGGTTAAGGGTTTAGGGGTTCAGGCATGCGGTCCAGGTTCCTACCTTGTGGAACCTTGGGGCGTGCAAAGCCATGCGCGGCGTGGGACTAACGCTCTTAACCACCCGAAACGACGCTGAAGCCTAAAACGTGCCAAACCCTCGACCCTAAAACCTCAATCGCCTCGGAAAGCTTGGAACAGAAACCTGCTCTCTGATACAGAACAAGCCCTGAACCCCAACACCCCTATGCAGACCCCTATAGGGCTTGGGGGTTTTCAGGGTTGATTATGGCTTGAGATTGAGGTTTAAGGTGTTTGGGGGCTCAGAAGCAAATTCCAACCGGACCCTAAACCCTAAACCCTAAACCCTAAACCGCTCTGGCTCGCATGCAAGCGGCAGGGTAGTCTTGCCGGTGCCCGACAAACCGAAGAAGACAGTGACATCGCCGTCCCTGAGAAACTCTGAAGATACGAATGGGAACCCTAGACCCTGAAGCATAAATCATTAATTACCATAAACCCTAAACCCTAAACCCTAAACCCTCAACCCGCTGAAGATTTGAGGGCTTAGGGTTGGGGTTGGGGGTGGCATTCCGTGAACACAACCGGGGTTTGCTTACCACCCTGCGACTACCCAGCTTGGAACTGCTAGGGCTTCTGGGCTTCTGGGCTGCAGGGGTGGTAACCTTTGGGCTTTACAAGTTTCAGGCTTCCATTTCATAGTTTTGAGCTTAGGGTTTGGGGATGTGGGGGTTTGGGGTTTAGGAGGACTTACAATAGTAGCTGTCGTGCTTTGGGGCTTGCAGGCAACCGTCCACGCGACACCCACGAAACTCAAAAGCTTCAAGGCATTTCTGCCGAGAGGCTTTCCCTCGTTGGCGGAGGCATGCATGCTGAGGATGCCACCTGAGCTGCTCCCAGATCCGAGAGTTTAGAGTCGGGCCTGAAGGCCTGGGGCACCACCGCGTCTCGACACGCCAAACCCACGACTTCCCCAAACACTCGGCCCGGAAAGCCTAAACCCTAAACCCTAAACAGCTCGCTGTCTGCAGGTTCAGCTGCGTTTCGGCAGCAAGTAGTTCATAATCGTGAAAACACCTCAGCATCAAGGGCCACAGAGCACAAGCAACTAGGTCTTTTGGTTGTTGGGCATTAGGCTTGCAGGCCTCAGAACTGGTTTAGGGTTTAGGGGTTTGGGGTTTAGGGCTTGGGGTTGATGGGTTTAGGGTTGAGGGTTTAGGGTTTAGGGTTTAGGGTTTAGGGGTTTGGGGTTTAGGGTTTAGGGTTTAAGGTTTAGGGTGCGTCAAGTGCGTCTGAACTCGACATCGGAGTCGCCCTTCTTCATCTCTCCCGCGTACTGCGTGCCCAGGATCACAACCTCTCCTTAGGCGGGGAGCGACTAAACCTTAACCCCCGGGCCCCTAAACCCCCATTGGAAAAAAAAAACAAAAAAACAGGACAAGGAGCCCACGCCGAAATATTTCGGCGTGAGCAGCTCCCCGAAGTGAGGGTGCAGTGGCACACACGGTCTACTGTCGCAGCGCAGTGAGAATAAAAGACACAAATCAGCTGCCTAAACCCCGAAAACTCTCACTCTTAAACCTTAAGCTTACACCCTAAATCCCAAAAACTCGAAAACACCTAGACACACCTTTCCTGCAGCTTTTCCGCGAGGGCTGAGGGCGAATGAGATTTCTGTCAAGAGGCTGTACCAGCTGTTACCAACTCCGAGTTCGTAACCACACATCACAATCTTAACTTACAGCTGAAGCTACACCCCCCCCCCCCTAAACCCTAAACCCTAAACCCGAAACCCTAAACCCGAAACCCGAAACCCTAAACCCTAAACCCTGAACCCTAAACCCTCACCCCAGACTGCAAGTTCCTGTCCACCCAGGACTGACTGGCTTCTTCAACATCCCCAAGAGCGCAAGGTTGCCTCAACACCCCCCCCTGGCCCACCGCCAATCCAAGGCTGATGTGCTCATGTGCCACTTTCACTCTGTTGCTTCAAAGTCTGGTTTAGGGTTTAGGGTTGAGGGTTGAGGGTTGAGGGTTGAGGGTTGAGGGTTTAGGGTTTAGGGTTAAGGGTTAAGGGTTAAGGGTTTAGGGTTTAGGGTTTAGGGTTTAGGGTTTAGGGTTTAGGGTTTAGGGTTTAGGGTTTAGGGTTTAGGGTTTAGGGTTTAGGGTTTAGGGTTGCCGAGACTCTGGAGGCGAAGTTCAGCGTCACCGAGGTGCCGGACGTCATGCCCTCGGTGGCCCGGTTGCATGGGAACGCCCCAGCATTGTAGATCGTGTAGTCCTGGGTTCAGGTCGGCTTCTCGGGAACAAACCCCAATAAACCCTAAAGCCCTAAAGCCTAAACCCCAAAACCCTAAAGCCCGTAAACCCTAAACCCTAAACCGTAAACCCTAAACCCTAAACCCTAAACCCTAAATCGAAGCCCCCCCCCCCCCCAAAAAAAAAAAAAAAAGGAACGCCACAGAAACACATCCCTTCTCAGAGCCCTGCTGGCTCACCGAAGTTCGCCAGCTCCTGCGGCCGCGCGAAGGAGAGGTTCAATTCAGGAGTCCGGAGAGGCCTTGCGGGGTTGAAGGGTTCAGGGTGGGTTTAGGGTGTAGGGTTTAGGGTTTGGGGTTTGGGGTTTGGGGTTTGGGGTTTGGGGTTTAGGGTTTAGGGTTTAGGGTTCAGGGTGAGCTCACGGACACCCAAGAAGCACATCCCATGAGTTGTGGACATCTGAAACCCTAAGCCCTTCAAATCAACAACTGCTCCACTCCTAAGAAAACCCTCAACGCCTCACAAGCCACACATTTCGAGTCATGAAACCCGAACCTGCAGCTTACGCGATTGTGCCTCCTCTGTGGGCCGGATCAGCATGTTGTGCATGAACAGCGCGTGGTACGCCCGGCTCGTGATGACGCGGATCTGTCGGGAAGAATTTCCGGCTCGATTCGCGGAAACAGGTTTCCTCAGAGCCATAAACCCTAAACTCAACAGCAGCGAATGGTCTAAGCTTCAGGGAGTCGGGCTTCTGGTGCCAGGACGAGTTCCGGATTCTACGGTTAGGGCTTAGGGTTTAGGGTTTATGTAGGGCATACTCCTCGGCCTTGTAGCGGTAGTCCGGATCCCACCCGGCGAAGCCGTCAAAGACGTAGAGTCGCTCCTGTGCTGCAACAGACTTGTACCGTGGAGTCGCAATCTACAGCCTGACCATCAAGGTCAGGATTTAGGGTTTAGGGTTTAGGGTCTGACTGTGAAGCCCACGCGATCTCCACGGGAGTAGGCAGCTGAGATGCTGAAACCCACCTGAGAACGCAAACCCTAAACCCTAAAACCCTAAATCCTCAGCACTCTAAGCCTGCCCCACCTGCAGCCGAAACCCTAAACCCGCAACCCCTCTAGACTCTTTCTCCCAGGCGCTCGGGTGTTCAGGTAGTCGATGGCACGTTCTCGGTTGATCCTTGGCGTCTTGTTTAGGGGTTTAGGGGTTTAGGGGTTTTGGGGTTTAGGGGTTTAGGGTTTAGGGTTTTGGGTTTAGGGTTTTGGGTTGAGGGCTTAAGGGCTTAGGGTTTAGGGTCTAAGGGTTGAGGGTTTAGGGTCTGGGTTGAGGGCTTGGGGTCCGGGGTTGAGGCTTTCATGGTTGAGGGTTAAAAGGTTTGTCTTGGCTCAAGCGCCAAGCAAAAAGTCTCGAAACCCCAAACTTAAAGCCTGAGCATCTAAAGCCCGAATCCCCCAAACTCCTAGCCCTCACACCCTAAACCCTAAACCCTAAACCCCTGAACCCCTGAACCCTAAACCCCAAGCCGCCGCAAGAGCTCAATCCTAAACCCTTCCTGGGAGTTGAGGCCGTACAGCTCTTGCCGCCTTCCGGGATTTCCTTTCGCGTTGAGGGGCTGCAACTGTGAGGCGTGCGGGAGTTATACTTGGTGTTTCGGGCTTATAGGGCTCCAGGCCACGAAATTCAGCTTCCCGGAAGTACTCCAAAAAAGCATTCGAGCCGCTTGAAGCTTTCTCTGAGACCTTCACGTTGACGCTTCCTAGGCTTCGGGTGCTTCCTGGGATCTGGGGCGATTTTTTGGGGGGGGTTTAGGGCTTAGGAGCTGCCTAAACTCGAAGGACCAAAGTCCTTTCGCCCGAAACCGCTCGAAGACCCGAAAGAGCGAGGCCCCATGAAGCTTTCATTCGTGCTCAGGCGGTTGAAAATTGGGACTCAAGGGGTAGGCTAAGCAATCGGGTACCCTAGAAATCCCTTAAGTTCGGGGAGGCATACCCGGTAACCCTGAACCCTTTGGGGTTCAAGGTTTGTTGGGCTGCCCCTGGGAGGGGGGGGGGAAAGGGCAAGGGGGGGGGGGGGGGAGACTGCAAGGGTTGTAGAAGGAGAAGGTTAGAACCATAGGCCCCCAGTATGGTCCCTTGCCCCTTGTTTGTGGGGATCCGAAGTATTGGCCCTTATTCCCTAGAAGCCTAGAACCCCAAGCCCGGAGTGTATATGAGGGTTATAGAACAAGGACCCACACGAAGAGCCCATACTTCGGAACCTAAACCCTAAACCCTAATTAAGCCCTAAGCCCCAAACCCTCAACTCAACCCTTAGAGGTTAAGGACAGGCCCTGGGAGTTTTATTGGACAGGTGCTGCCGGGGAGCCCCACCAAACATCGTCGGAGGTGGAGGGCCTGGAAGCGGGAAGCTGCTTTAAAACCCCAACTTTAGGGTTTAGGGTTTAGGGTTTAGGGTTTAGGGTTTAGGGTTTAGGGTTTAGGGTTTAGGGTTTAGGGTTTAGGGTTCCCTGGGTCCATTGCGAACACTCGCACGCACGTTTACAGTGTTACACAACCGCTCGCACGCCCAGCGTGCACATGGATTTCAGGTGTGAGTCTCAACGACCGGCAGAGCTGAACGCAACAAGCTCAAACCGCTTCAGCACGCACGAGAGGGGTTTTACTCGGTTGACTCCTGATACCCGAATTTCTAGGAAGCCGCCCGTTGCCGGCCCTCGGATTCCGATACGCATGACTCGTTCTTAGGGTTCCGGGTTTAGGGTTTAGGGTTTTGGGTTTTGGGTTGAACCTGGAGGTCTCTGATCCTCTTGTCCCATCCGTAGAAATCTCGAGATGATTCCCCAACCCCGTAAGAAAGGCATCTCAACCCCTCACACCAAGTAACCCAGCCGCATTTAACGCCCTGGACCCAAATCCTACACCCCCCAGGTGTCAGGCCGAAGATTCGGGGCTCAGTCTTAGGGTAGTTACGTGGTTCCTTTATATGGGCCCTTAAATGGGAACCCTTTATATACAGGAGGAAAGGGACCATATTAAGGGACCATGTAACCTATGGGGTTTAGGGTTTTGGTTTTAGGGTTACAGGTCTTAGGGTTTCAGGTGTTTAGGGTTGTCCAAAACAGGGTTTAGGGTTGAGGGTTTTGGGTTTAGGGTTTAGAGTTTTTGGGGTTTAGGGCAGAGCCGTGTTGTGGTCACTGTGCTGATGTGTTTCGGGTGTCGAGGCTGGCTCACGGTTCAAGCGAGGGCGCTGCGTTGAGCCTGTCATGGGTTGAGGGTTTGGGGTTTAGGGGGTTTAGCGTTTAGGGTTTAGGGTTTAGGGTTTTGGGGGTTTTGGGGGTTTTGGGGGTTTTGGGGGTCTTGGGGGTTTTGGGGGTTTTGGGGATTTTGGGGTTTCTTGGGGTTTGGGGTTTAGCTTCGGGTTTAAGGTTTAGGGTTCGGGGTTCAAGTGTGTCAGTGCTCCCGAGTTGGCACATCTGGGCTTCCCGCTCATCCACCACCCGCTTGTCCAGGGGTGAACGTCCCGTCTTGGCACCTGATGGACATGAAGTAGGGGTTCGTGTTCCTTGTATCCCCACAAAGGACACCCAATACATACACTCACCAAAAGTAAAAAGGAACCTCATATACCCTCACCAATTACAGTAATACAAACCCTGCTTCACATGACTTTTTGGGGTCGCTACATGGTGGGCCCTTACAAAGGGGACCCCTTACATACCCCTTCAAAAACACCATGCAACCCAAGGGCACATCAGAACCAATGGGACCATATTCAGGGTCCCATGCAACTGCCCTTTGATGACTCCACCGCCCGAGACCCTAGACCCTAGACCCTAAACCCTAAACCGCGCACCTTATCTTTGGTTTTGGCGTCAGGGTTTCGAGTCCGTGGTTGATAGTTCGGGTATTCAGGCGCGGCGGACGGGAGACTCGATTGTTTTCTTGGGCATCACCCTACACCCTAAACCCTAGACCCTAAACCCCAAACCCTAAACCCCAAACCCTAAACCGCAGCTTGACCTAAACATCCCACCAAATGGGTCTTAGTGTGAGGGAATTAGGGTCACTTATCACGAAGGGTCTCGTGGGCTAAAGGGCACCTCCTGCCCAGAGAGGTTGGGAACTCTACAACGCGCAGTTCAGAGCTTAGGGTTTTAGGCAGGTTTTGAAGGGAAGATCGGGTCTCAGCCTAGACCCCGCAGCCCCGGATGATTCTCTTCTTCTTCAACCAGATGCGCCCTTTCATGAATTTGAAATTTGTATTGATCTCCCAAAAGATCAGTGACCTACAGATTAAGAAAAAATATTATGGAAAATCAAAAGGTTAGATTGAGTATTCCCACGCAATAGGGAAACCCAAGCTTAATCGTCAACTGTTTAAACCCTAAAACCCAGACCCTCAATCCTGACCCCTAAACCCTAAACCCTGAACCCTGAACCCTAAACCCTAACCCGAATAGCCCCAAACCCCAAACCCGAAACCCTACCAACCCCAAACGTTAAGAAGCCCCGCCTGAGAAAGCTGCCAGCGCCCCGGTGGAAAGGATCGCCGAGCCCTTCTCGTACCGCAGGGCCTCTGCTGCTTTCTGCACTCTTTGGCTAAACCCTAAACCCTAAACCCTAAACCCCAAACCCTAAACCCTAAACCCTGCTAAACCCCAAGCCCGAAGCCCTAAACCCCGAAATCGTAAACCCTAACCCCTAAACAACCTGAGCCTCAAATCTTGCTTCGCGGGTTTAGGGTTTTCGGGTTTGGGGGGGGGGGGGGGGGGGAACCCATTGAACCAACTCAGGGAAATTGGGCGCCTTCTACTCCCCACAGAACCCACACAAGGTACCTCGTTCCCACGTCTTTCCCCAATGCGGCGGGAGGCAGACTCCGAAACCCTGAGCCCGAAACCCGAATCCCCGAAACCCTAAACCCTAATTAAACCTTTAACCCTAAACCCTAAACCCTAAACCCTGAAGGGAAGGCCTCGTCGTAGAGGGTGCCCGGCCGCGCGTTGTGCTGCACCCACTCGGTGTGGATGCCCATGTCATGCAGTATCTTCATGTCCTGGTCTGGGCAAAAGGGTATAGGGTTTAGGGTTTAGGGCTTAGGGTTTAGGGTTTAGGGTTTAGGGTTTAGGGTTTAGGGTTTAGGGTTTAGGGTTTAGGGTTTAGGGTTTAGGGTTTAGGGTTTAGGGTTTAGGGTTTAGGGGTTAAGGCATTCGGTTCTCGATTTGGGGCTTTCGACTTTTAGGGGGTTCGGGCTAAAGTTTACAGGGCTTCCTTCAGGGTTCATAGTTAGGTTGAAGACACAACGTTCGGGTTGATCTGAAGGTGAAGATGTAGGGCTTTAGGCTGTAGGCTTTCGGGGCTTCGGGGCTTCGATTCTTGGATTTCGGGACCTTCCCTCCCTGCACAGCAGGCGTCCGCATCTTCGAAGAGGTGTGTGTCATGGGACAGCTCATGCGAAGCAGTCCTGTCAGTTCTCAAAGTGAACGTCTGTCTTTTGGGGGGCTTGGGGTGTAGGGCTTCGGGCTTGTGAGTTCTGTAAGTTATAGTCCCTCTTTTGAGGGTAACGAAATCAGTAATGAAGAGTCAAACAATGCCCTAAGTGTCGT